AATTGAATTACATAGATTTCTCATCAATTGAGAGTTACCTTCTAAAAGCCCTAACTTTTTCTCTTCCTCCTTCCTGAACCCAGAATCCATAGACAGAGGAACTCTCATTCTTCACTCTCAAACATGTTCTTCCACATAGTATTGAAGCGGAACATGCAGCTGCATCCACGCCACTTCGGCCGCAACCCTCGTGAGAACCTCGTATAGAAGCTCATGAAAGATGTCGAGGGCACTTGCAGGTTTTTGTCTTTTTATTTTTATTTTATTTTATTTTATTTCTCCATTTCATTTGTTTGATTTTTTGAGAGATCAATGCTAGTGAATATGCTTAAAATTCTCTGCATCTCACTGTCAATTCTTTCATTGTGACAACCAGTGTTTATGGTGTAAATTGCTGAATTAATGTATATTCTCTATTCATAATGTCTGTCACTGTACATACATATATAAACAAAATAACTATATCAGAATCATAACTTAACTAACCTTGTGCCTAAAGTCTAGGAGAGTTATAATTGCACACAAATATGCTCTGATTCCAAGAGATTTCTACCAGAAACTGTTTATACCAGATACTTTATACCAGATACTGTTTACTCTCCCCCTCAAGCTGGTGCATGAAGGTCATGAATGCCCACCTTGTCCTGCATCAAATAAAAACTGTCCTTGCTTAATGCCTTTGTGAAAATATCAGCTAGTTGATGAGAGGAAGAGATTGGTAATGTGCAGAAACAATACCAGCTTGAAATTTCTCACGCACCAAATGACAATCAATTTCCAAATGTTTTGTCCTTTCAGGAAAGATAGGATTGGCAACAATGTGGTGAGCTGCCTCATTATCACAGTAAAGAGGTGTGGAGCGAGATTGGCGAATACCAAAACTGTGTAATAAGGTGCAAAGCCAAATGACCTCTTTAGTGGTAGAAGCCATAGCCCTATATGAGTGCCGTGGGTCATCATGTATTGAGAAAAATTGTCATCTCTATGAAGATCCACTATTGCTTTGAAATTTTCTAATGTATCGAACAGGCAAAGGACCAAAAAAGTCATCGTCGGAGAGGTCCAGGATTCTTAACTTGGGAAAAGATGGACGTTCTTTGGTGCTAACTACAAAACCATGGAATTTATTTGACCTTAAAACCAGCACTCTTAGATTTGCTATCTTGTTGTCTCCAAAGTTTAGAACCTCTAACAAGCTACAATTCATCAAAGATCTTGGCAACAAGCCTTCCATTTTATTTCCATACAAGTTGAGACTTTGCAATCCATAACCCTCTGGAAAGCTAAATGGTCTATCTCCATCAAAGTTATTGGCATGCAAACTCAACACGGAAAGACTTTCGCTCATCAACAATTGGAGATAGTTTGGAATCTTCCCACTTAAATTGTTAATAGAAGGGTCAAGAACTTGAAGATCATTTGAATGTCTTAGGAAACTGGAGAATTCGCTCAAGTTACAAGAAGACAAAATCAAATGTTTTAGTTTGGGGAATGTGAAGTCAGCATCAAAATTGATTCTCAAAGACAGATTGTTGTTTGAAAGATCAAATTATTGTGTGCCAAATCCACTATTGTCAATGATTTTTGATGGAATTGATTTATTTGATCTAGAAGAAAGTTGCAATTGAGAACCAAGACCTATAACGAAGGTAGACTGAAAACTCAAGGTGGCATTGATCCGTTAAGTGAGTTATGAGATAGGTCTAGGTGGGATAGTATTGAAAACGTACTCCCTTGAAAAGGAATGGGACCAAAAAGCTGATTATTTGAAAGATCAAGAAGGTTAAGTTGCATGACATTTGTAAGTAATGATGGGATTTGACTCCAAAAATTGTTATGTCAGAAGTTTACAAGAGTAAGCTTAGACAACTTCCCTATTGAAGCTGGAATGGAACATTTCAAGTTGTAGCTAAAGAAAACTAAAGAACGTTATCTCCTATTGACTTGGGAAATTCCCTCCCCCCACAATCCTTGCGGTTTATTTCATATGGCAAGAAAAAAATGGAAGTGTTTTAAAAAATGAGAGTAAAGTTACAATTCAGCACCTAGTTTCAATTAATCTCTTAGCTACTTAGTTGAGTTACATTAATGCTTTGTCATTAATTTTCTGTAAACCTGAAAATGCATGGATGAAAGCCTCGTGTATAGCCCCATATGAGGAATTTTCTATTAATGGAGTAAGCTTACCATTCTCTTAGAAAAGTGTTTTAGCACTCATCCATCGGTCCAGTTAAATAACCAAACAAGAAAGGAAGTCATAGAATACACAAATTAAAACCAACTTGAAAAAGAGTGATGATGTGAATATTGTACTAAGCACACAGAAAGAAGTCTACCGGGCAGATCATGCTAGAGGACAGGTTCAAATGCAAAATATTAGTTTAAATATAAAACAAGAATGCAAAAGCTGCAATTGGCAATTAGGACTTTAAAATTGAAGAAACTATGAGGTCCATGAAAAGTGAACAAGTTAAGTTGAACAAATTAGAGAAAGAAACTCAAATGGATAAATAGCGAAAACAAAGAGTACAAAATCATTGAACTACACAAGTGAGGAAGCTGTAGGTTCATTGACTTCTTTGCACCAAATGTCATAAATCTGACACCCAATCCCCTAAACAGCCCTTCTCCCTCCGTGAATTGCAGTAAAAATTATTCAAATTAAGTGATTGAAATCAAAACCGTGTCATAAAGTAGTCAGCGTTATTGGAAACTGTATTATTTGTCCATCTATGATACTAGTAGGAACACCCCACTCTGCGGGGAGGTGGTTATTTTCAAGGTCACTTGGACCTCATTAAAAGCAAAATATAATCTAAGTTACGCAGTTGTACCTGTAGTTAAACATTCAAGTCATGAACAACATAAAATTGTACTGTATTACTATGTTTTAATTTTTAATACATGCAATGCAA